CTTTGGGTTTAGGGTTCAGAGTTTACGTAAGTCGCGTTTGGTTCAAGTTGGAAGCTTTCACCGGTTTTTTGGTGATGTTTTATTCTTGTGCTGTTGCCCTGTACATTTTTTGGTGATCCGAGCTTGAGGGCTCAGGGTTTTTTGTTTCAGGAGAGTAAAGGAGGCCATGTCAAGTTCTGCCCAAAGAAGGGTCCCTCAAATCCCCCTGACTTGGGCATGGTTCGTGACGCGCAGGGCCCGCCTATTGTCGGGGAATTTTCTGACAAAATCTATGAGATTAGTTCGAGAGCCTCTGCTCGGGTTCATGCAAGGAGCTTATTCGGTGCATAATGGTTAGGGCCCTTGAGCATGGAATCTCCAGAAAATCTAGGCCGTGTAATTTGACGGCTCACTCCCATGGAAGTTCCCCAAAAATCGAAATGACGCCAACACCCAAAACATGCCGTTTTTCCCGAAACAAATTTAGGAGTTGCGCCGCCTACAATCCGTGGCCGATTTTTGCTCCAGCTGTTCATGGTATACGCATGGTTCAGAATACACTATTTTGGACTTAGCTTGGCACCAGAAGACAGCCATGAGCATTCTTACGCTCATTACTTTGCATGTCTTACAACATCTCGCATTGGTACACTGCAGCATGTCGCAAAGTTCAAAGCAACGCCGTCGCTAGGCAACACTTGTCATCATGGCGATCCGCTCGCTTCGTATTGCTTCAGCCTACCGGGACTTCTGCCGCGCAGTTCAAGCAACCTTTGCGAATGATGCTTCAGCACAGCGCCAGCTAAGGGCGGAGACGGCCCGCACACTTCGGAAGCATGCAGCCCTGATGTCCGAAGGCGATTTGGTGAAGGATCTGAAGTCGGGCACCGATATGATCAAATACGAGATTGTCCAGGCATCCCTTAACGCTGAGACGAGCAACTACCGAGCACATGTGAACCAGGACCACCTTTCCCGTGGGGACGTGCTGGACCTCCTGACACCGGAGGAGGCCATGAAGAACCGTGGAAGCTAGCCGGGTCTGAGTCATAAAAAGGTGCTGCGCAAGTGACAACAACTCCTGGCTCAGCATAAGTGATCCACACCTTGAATCTTGACATCGTGTATTCCTCTTGGGATGTCCAATGGTCCTCGTTCACGTCGAGTTGATGACATGTATCCTTTGTTGTATCATGAAGCCTTGCACAAAGAACCCGGCCACTCAAGTTGCACCGTCCCAAGACTCAAACCATACGCCCGAGAGCCACGTGGTGATTTCAATCATAGACCCACATGTGCTTTAATTGGACGTTTTGTCATAGGTATCGCCCAACAAAGGCTGCTGATCTTTTGGAAAACCCCCTGTGGCGCCTACATGGATGAGTCGCGACAAGGTGCATGTCCAACATTGTATCCAAAGGCATGTGCTTTTCTCATTGGATGGTGAAGAGCCTTTTATACCAGTCCTGACCGAATTGGCAGAGTAGATTTCACGGGGTTTCCAAGAGGGGGCTAGTTGCTGTTGCTGTTTAGGAATCCACATATATCTTCTCGCCCATTCAGAGAAACTCCTACGTACGGGCATTTTGGATAAGAAGAATGCCCACAGACCCAACGCCCATGTGTTGGGGTTCCCATCTTAACCCAGACCCTTGGCTGTGTGCTCATCTGAAAGGCTTCGCCTGAGGTCCGTGAGGGAGCCGTGCGTCTCCGCCGGATTCCTAAGTCTCCGGTGTTGCAGGTTGTTTTTGACATGATGCTGTTAAGGTTTACGGTAGTAGGTTTTAGGGTTAGTTTAGGGATGTTTAGGGTTTAGTAAGATCCAGGGTTGATGGGGTTCAGAGGTTCGCGGTTCAGAGTTTTAGGTCTTACGGTTTCACCCAGGCTTCGGGCCAAAAATGTTCATCATGTTGCTGACCACAGGAGTCCCAGACAACAACCGTTTCAATGTTGCACGGCCTGAGCCATGATGCTTCTAAAACGGTGAGTTTAGGGCTTAAGATTTAGGCTTT